AAAAAAAAAAAAGCAATAGAGAGAATCTTCCAGCCAAAAAAAAAAAATTTGTACATAAATGTTCACAGCAGCATTATTCATAATAGTCAAGAACTGGAAACAAGTCCAATGTCCATCAACTGGTGATCAGATAAACCAAATGCAGTATATCTGTACAATGAGATGTTCTTCAGCAATCAAAAGGAACAAACTACTGACACATGCCACAGTATCAATGAACTAACACCAAAAACATGGTACGTGAAAGGAGACAGACATAAGAGATGTGTGAGTGCATTCATAAGAAACATCCAGAAAAGGCAAATTTATAAAAGCAGAAGAATTAGTGGTTACCTGGGGCTGGAAGTGGGAGTGGGGAGCGACTGCAAATAGGCACAAGGCACCTTTTTAGGTCTTACAGATATTCTGAAATTTGGTGATGACAGTCGCTCTACTCTGTAAATTTGCTAGAAACCATTGAAATGAGGGAATTTTATATATAAAATACATCTCAATAAAGTTTTTAAAAAAGAAAAGGAAAATCACCATCATCCCATAAAAACTTTCCATAGCTCCACTACAGATAAGAGAACAGCATGCTGCCTCCAGGGTAACATGTGAACAGCCCTGCCTGGCACTCTGGGCCCACCACCAGTCCAGCCTCAGCACCTGGCCAACTTTCTCCCACATCCCAGGCCCTGCGTGGCTGCCAAGTACGTGGGCTAAGGAACTGGGGTCTGAGCTTCCAGCTCTACCGCTAACTTGCTGCAACCTTCCTTGAGTAACGCCTTGAACTGGCTTCCTCAGAGACCGATGCAACGCATCTCACAGGGTCAGCACGGAAGTATGAGACAGTCTTGTAAAACACTCTGCCCAGAGTGAATGCATGCACTCTCCTCACCACAGGCTCTCCGAGCAGCAGGGTCCGGCCCTCCCATCTGGAGCAGGTGGCCCCATTACTCTTGGCACCCTTTGTGTTTCTGACATAGCACTTGCAGTTCCTTTTTATTCTTTTGCCTCTTTTCCTTTCCTTTGGTCTGTTCCCTTACTGGGTTGAGTCTCCAGTGGGGACAGAGACCTTGTGCTTTTTCCCTTACTGCCTCTGCAGGGCCAAGCCCAGTGCCTGGCAAGTGACCCATTTGCAGCAGTCACTTGCCGTGATGGATAAACGGCAGCTACAGGTAGTGCTCCGGCCCTGGCACATTTGGGGACTGTTGCTTGTGTTTTGCTGCAAGCTCGTCTTTCCCTCAGCAGGGTCCAGACTTGCCTCACAGGAGCAAAGGTAAAGGTGAGGTAGCCTTGCAGGGGATAATGAGCCTGGAGATGCCACTGAAGTGGAAGCCTTGGAAAGTGACTCAGCAGTGGGGAGCCGCGTAGTTGAAGGAAAAAGCCTGCAGGGCCGTGAGGGGTCTAGATGTGGACAAGCAACCACAGTGGACAGCTGCTTTTATGGGGCGGAGAAGAAAAGCAGACATATCAAGAATACTTGTACAATGTGTGTACCTTCTCTTATTGGAAGATGAGGTTAAACATACCGGTTGAAATGAAATCTTTATGTATTTCATGTATGCTTGCTTTGAAAACTGGAGTTGAATATAATTGCAGCATTTTGCATTAATTTAATTTCTTTTACCTTTCATGGAACCAGGGCTTGAACTTGATATGTAAATATATGCAAAAAAGTGTGCAAGCTAGGAAGGCACTAGCGTTTAATTTTAAGGGAACTAGAGCACTTTCCAGGCCCAGGCCCTGAGGATTACATACAAGTGGTCTTTAAGAATACTCAACTGCTCTGAAGGAGCTGAGCCAGACCAGTCTTCTTTGCCATCTACCTTCTATAAAACTAACTGTGTATTTAGTTCATCCACAACAGTCTCTGGTAGAACTCAGTGAGGCACCAGCACCCTGCTAGGGCAGCAAGACGCTTTGTCACAGAATTTTCATGCTGCCTCGCGTATCACAGAGGTCAGAGAGCACTTGTAGTGAGAACAAGGCTATTCCTGGCACCTGAAAAAGCTCTTTTTGAGTCCCAGAAGTTATTCAAGTAACACCTTGGACAAATTTATTAACTTCTCTAAGCCCAATTCTCCATCTTTAAAGCTTATTTATATTTTGCAGAATTGTTAAGAGAACTAGAAATACAATGTGCCTGCCTGATACAATACCCAGAAAAGAAGATGCTCCTCTATCAATTTAGAGGAAGTCACCTTCAAAGGAACTCCCCCAAACCTTAGAAGACTCGACTGAACTTGCCAACATTCCCAAAAGCAGGATATAAGGTGACACAGTAGGAGACCACCCAAACAGAGCCAGGGGCATCTTTCTAAATTCCACTCAGCCTTCCAACATGAGCCATCCCCTCCCCATTCTGTCTTTGTTACAAGCCAGGTCAAGACTAAAAAACACCCAGCAAGTACCAAATGTGCTAAACACTAGATTAGACTAAGAACAGAGGCCCCCACAAAATATTATCCTTTCTCTAAACACGTCCACACATCTTCCTCTTATCCTGGGCAGCACTTAGGATTATCCCACCCTCCATCCATTAAAAAAAAAAAAATGTGGTGATTGAGACTCAAAAGTAAGTTATCACCCAACGTTACACAGCTAACAAGCATTTGCCCACGCATAGTCAGACCTCCTGATGTCTTTTTCTGAGCCACCTCCTAATTAAACTATACCCAGCTCTGTGCATTCCAGTTAACCTTGGTCCCTGTTTCACTGGGTTCAGACTTTAATCACTCAACAGCTATCTGCCACTATGTGCCAAACAGGTGTAGGAGTGTGACATTCAATAAACAGGCCTTGGGGTTGGCCTCCTTCAGTCCCAGCTCTCCCACTTGTTACCTAGGTGACCTTAGATAAGTTACTTCATTTCCCAGGGCTTCGGTTGTCCTTAATCTATAAAATGGGCAAACAGAATTCTACCTCTCTTAGGGCTATGGAAAATTAAATGAGAGGATGCCTGTAAAGATTAAGCACGATTCATGGCTCCCACTAAGCATTCAAATATGAGTTGCCTATATTATTCTCCTAGGTTCTGGGGATAGTCTCAAATCAGTCAAGAACCTTAGCCTCAAGGAACTTACACAGTAGTGGGAAACACAATAAACAAGTAAATTATCAATAGAAACTTCAAATGGATGAATACTATGAGAAAAATAAAATAAATGTGTGACAGTGGGGGGTGGAAACTACCTTAGATTTAAGTGACAAGGGAAGGTTATTCAGATGATATTTTAACTATAACAAGAATGATAAGGGCCAGGTATAAGATAAGCTGGAGGAGCAGAAACAGCAAATGCAGATCCAAGCAGACACTCGCAAGGATGAGTAGGTCCTGGGGTTAGTGAACAGTGGGGTGGGAGGTGTGGGAACGGGCATGAGATGTGATCAGATAAGTCAGCAGCACAGTTTTGTAAAGCAAAGTAAGGCGGTTCCTCTTCATCTTAAATGCACTAGGCCATCGGAAGTTTCTAAGCAAGGGAGAGGGTATATGACCTGATTCATAACTTTTAAAAAGCCCCTTTGGCTGAGGCATTGAGAAGAGCCCCGGTTAAGAGGCTGCTGCAGTTGGTCCAGGACTGGAAGCATCTCACGTATAGTAACACGACGCGTGCACTCGGGAGTGAGGGGCAGCAAATTCAGGGCTGTTAGGTCAACCGGAGCTGGAACGTGGACTCCCTGAGCTCCCCCGCTCTCCACTCTTTCTCCCCGGCACCAAGGAAGTAGTGAAGACCGAAGGCGGCCACTCTCTGGACCGGGGGCCCCGGGAGTCTCCAGGGGCCTGCCGTTCCTCGTGTACACGGCGGAGGGAGACGCTCGCCACAGGGATTTGGAAGGGCTCAACGAGAGAGGGACCCGCGGGCTCTCCAGCCAGAACCTCCCTCAGGCCGGCCCGCGCTCTCCATGCCCGCCCCGGCCCAGGCCGCGCTCGCTCGTCGCGCCCGCCGACGGCCCGCTCACCCGGATGCCCTGCAGCACCCGGACCCGCTCCTCATCATCCGTTCCGAAAGACACCCTGCGGCCCTCGCGGCTCTCAGTGCTCCCCATAGCAGGAAGCGAGCCAGCAAGCGGCCACGCCAGCCGGCTCCAGAGCAACCAGACAGACGCCGAGCTGTGGCGCTCTGAGCGCACAACGCTTCCAGGGACGTGCCGACCACAAGCCAACAAAACCACGTCCTATTGGTCGCTGCTGAATGCTCAGCCAATCACGTAGCATCGATCCGCATGGCATTGTGGGAACTGTAGTCTTTCCGGCATCACTGCCCTTCTGTAGCCAGGCAGCGTGGGGGGCGTGGCTCCTGAGCCGCGGAAGGAGAGCTGGAGTCCCACAGCTGCAGGGTGGAGCAGAGAGCTGGAAACTGCAGGCCTAAGAGAGGGGAGACACGGCCAGCGCTCGCTTCGGGGAGATCACCTTGAAGCAGAGCCAAGGACAATGTTCTAAGACCAGAAGTCCGTCCTCCTGGGGAGCTGAGCCAAGCATGTGGAGACAAACTTAAGTTCATTCAGCAAACTCGTACTGAGAGGCCCTTGCTAAGCTGCAGGGAATACGACTAAGACAAGCCTTACCTTCTTGAGGTTTAGATATAACTGAAGAAGATACAAAAGGGCAAACAAGCAAGCTCGTAAATAAACGCATTCACTACTGTGGTAAGTGCCACAAATGGAAAAACTGCAATATCATGATGCCATGAGAGGAATTAATGGGAAGGTGCTTCTTTTGATTTGACAGGCCTGAGCAGTCTCTCAGAGGTGGGGTGGCCAGAGGCTTTTTATGAACAAGGGTATCTGCTAGTTTCATTCAAAATACTTTAATTTGTAAATCACCCTGCAGCTCTTGTGTTTTCCAGCTCTTTCCTATCAGCAGAGCCTGAGTAAGAGATTCTGATGCAGGAGGGGAAAGGAAATGAGACAACAGGATAAGGTGGGGGAAATGTTAAGTAAAGATGTGGTTATAACTGGAGACTGGCTTCTGACTGATCCCAGCAGATGCCAGGTCGGGAAGTTAGAGCACAAATTACATGCAGAATTAATCCCATTATGAGGCAAGGGACTGGTCTTCTATCCGCCCCCATCAGTCAGTCTTTGGCAGCTGTCTTGTCAATGGGTTCAGCCCCAGGCAAGTTCACTATGGCTTCAATGAGACAAAAAAATTACAATGGAACGTTCTTGGGGTGAAAGGGTTTATACCCAGCTTTATTCCCATGGTGGCAGGTCAATCACTAGAATCCCATCCACTCAGAGCAAGTCTGTGTGCAGCAAGCTGGTCTCTGCCTCTGGGCCTCTCTGCCGCTGCAGCTGTCTCAGTCTCTGTCCTTGGTGCTGCCACCACTGCAGTCTCATCTCTGTTCTCCTACAGCCTTTCAGCGATGCCACCACATTGCCCAGAGCACTGGGCAGAGCTCTTTATATGGAGTCAAGAGCGACTTATTGCCCACACTTGTGTAGTGAGCAAGCCAACTAGGGCCAGGTGTGAATCTTGGCCATAGGAACCTTCACTTTATCCATAGCAGCCCAGAACAATTCCCCAGTGAACCCATCTGTGAGCTGTCAACAGCCCACACCCACAGCAGCTGGAGGATGGCTCACTGACCTCTAAAAGAATCTGCATGAGGAACTTTCAGCATCCAGTACATGATCCACATATTTTTCAAGGTCTCCCAAATACCCAGACATCTTCTGACTGTGGAAGGGGTTGTAAAAATTGAGAAAGGGAATGGATTTCATTTTTGGGTAGATGGTGAAATAATTAACACACTGGGTTGATTCAACAAAACAAGAATTAGAGCCACAGGTGACCATAAGACTGTATGTGGTCTTCCCTCCCCCCTATCACATGCAAAATCCTGAGAAAGAATTGGAATTCCACTGGACATAACAGCAGAATAGCTGAGCCTTGTGACCACCCACAAGTTCTGTGTCCCAACGTCACAGACAAGAAAAACAAGGTACAAACAGGTGAAGATAATGTGACATTATGACTGCCAAGTAGGATGAGGATTTGAATAAAGCTGTGGCATAGGAATACAGAGGAAAGGAGGGGAAGGGAAATTCCTGTTTTTGGGGGACCACCTTTGTGCCAGGCTCCATGACACAGGCACTCGGTCTTTGTGGGGAAGTTGGGGTTCCTATGTCCAGGATCCTCACTGAACTTAAACCACCTGATAATGTAACTGGCCTGTTGCTGGGCTGCCGCTTTCCACACCTTTAGGCAATAAGCTATTACTGCGCTATATAGAGAGCTTGGCCCAGTGCTCTGGGCAGAGGTAGAGACGCTAGTGCTCGACCTACTGCCGGAGAACAAGCCAGGTAATAAACCCTTTCACCCCAAAGAATGCTTTGCTGTCAATTTCTTTGGTCACACTGAATCCATAGCAAACTTGCCTGGGGCAGAATCCCACTGGCAAGACAATCTTGTAATGCAGTTAACCCTTGACCAATTTATTCAGTCCCAGAAATCATCCTAACAGCATTATTATTCCACTCTGAAGCCCAGGAAACTGAGGCTTTAGGGATGTACGTGTTGTGACAGGTGCACTAGATGCTGCCCAGCACCCATTCTCTGCTCCTTTACAACTGTCTTGCCAATGGGTTTCAGCCCCAGGCTGAAAGTTCACTGTGGTTTGAGTGAGACAGAGGAATGGCAATGGAACATTCTTGGAGTGAAAGGATTTATTACCCAGCTTGTTCTCCCAGTGATAGATCGAGCATTAGAATTACCTCTGCATCCAGCAGTCTGCAGGTCTATAATCCTCCTTCACCTCTGCCTCCACCCAGAGCACTAGGCAGAGCTCTTTATATAGTGACTCAGTCTATAATAGCTTATTGCCTATGGGGGTGGGACCAGTAGCCTATCAGTAGGCCAATTACATCATCAAGTAGTTTAGTTTCAGGTGAGGATCCTGGCCATAGGAACCTTCACTTTCTTTATCCACAACATAACCCTGATTTCCTTTAGTGCATCTATGGGCAAAATGGGAGTTCCTATGGCCAGGATCCTCACCTGACCCTAAACTTCTTGACGATATACTTGGCCTGCTGCTAGGCTATGGCTTCCACACCCTAGGCAATAAGCTATTATAGACTGAGTCACTATATAAAGAGCTCTGCCCCGCACTCTGGGTGGAGGCAGAGATGGAGATGGGTTACAGATCTGCAGACTGCTGGATGCACACATGATTCCAGAGCTCTACCCACAGCCAGGAGAATAAAGCCGGGTATAAACCCAAGAGTGTTCCATTGTCATTCCTCGGTCTCACTGAATCCATAGTGAGCTTGCCCAGGGATGAAACCCTTAGGCAAGACAGAAACTGTGTGCCTGGTTAGAAAAATCTGCCTTTTCAGCTTCTGGTAGCCAAAGTTGTGAGAGTTTGAGGATTATAACAATTTGATAATTTGAGTTTACAACACATTTGATTTTTTTTAATCCAATAGTCCCTGTTGTAAAAGAGAGAGAAAGACAGGGGTGGGAGATGGAAACAAAAGGGGAAACTTCTTTACAAAATTTTTCACCAAATCAATATGAGATTTAAAAATTACCATTTGTAACTCTCAGTGAATTAAGTGCATCTGGCAAAAATTTGTACATACTAAAGCCACTGGGTAAAAGGTGGTTGGGGAACATGATATTCATGTAACCTCAACATTTCTACACATTTCTTAATAATTACAAAAGAAAAATGTATTGCAGTGACAAGTCCTAGAAGTCACTGCCTTAACCAAATGGCCAAATTCAGCATCACAAAGAGTAGGGCAACCTGATGTGATGTCCCTCCTGGTGTGATATGGTAAGGAACACGTACATCTCCTGCAGCGTATTGTCAAAAATGTGTGAACCTGAAGGTGACCTGAATCTAATCATAAGAAAATACCAGACAAATTCAGAATGTGAAACATCCTAGAAAACAGCTGTCCTGGGCTCCTCCAAAAGGTCAATATCATGAAAAACAAAACAGAATAAAAAAAGGTAGCCAAGAGATGAAAGAAGTGTAACAATGACATGCAGCAATAATTCCTGATTAGATCCTGGATTAAAATGACAACAGCAAAAAGAACAATAAAACTGTGAAAATGTGCTTGGGCCAATTGGGAAAGTTTTAGTTATGGAATAGTGTCCTAAGTGGTACTGTTGCATTTATACTAATTTTCTTCTTCTTGGCAGCTGCTCTTTGAACTGTTTGGGTGTGGACTTTCATAGTGTCATAGTGCAGCTCACACTCAAATGGTTCAGAAAAAAGTGTTAAGGTGAATCTAGGTGAAATATATATTGGAGTCCATTATATGATTCTTTCACTGTTTCTGTGGTTTTGAAAATGTTCGGGATAATAAGTAGGAGGGAAACAAAATAAAATTTTGCATTTGGGGAAAAAAATACTTTCCTCCCTCCTCTCCCTTGTCCATTGCAGCTGGAAATAACCACGTATCCTAGCTCTGGCCAAGGAGTTTCTTGAGCACTGTGGTACCTGGAGAACAGCACAGGGCTGAAGAGAGCCGTGAGATGTGGTGATGTGAGATGGGTACACAGCTGAGCTCTGCCTCTTTCTAGACCTTTGGCCGTGAGCAAATTATTGGATAACTTTGCATCCCAGTTTTCTGCAGAGATAAGTGGTGTCGACATTATGTGGAGTGCTTGCCCAGGGCTCGGCACTTAGTGATCTCATTCAGCAGAGGCTATTAGCAAAAGATTTCTGTGTTGGAAATAACATTTTATGTAAGTTGGTTCCAGGGATGGTAGTACAGCATGGAGAACATAACCAGTGTTCTTTAACATCTTCCTATGTTGACAGATAGTGACTGCACTGGTGGGGGTGAGAACTTAATAATATGTTGAACCACTGTGTTGTATACTTGAAGCCAATATAAGATTGTGTATCCATGATACTTCAAAAAAAAAGTTGAAATGACATTTTGACAACCAGTTTGGAGTGTGGGTTAGGGAGAGCATTGTGTAAGGTGGCTTCTCTTAAATTGAATTCTCCAGAAGGAGACAAGAGCAAGAGAAGGGCTGGTACAGTAGGGAAGTAAAAAAACTAATTTTTTAAAAAGAATTGTCTTTAAAAGCCAAAAGGAAGCTTTCCCCATAAGATCAGGAAAAAGATAAGGATGTCTGCTTTCTCCACTTCTATTCAACATTGCACTGGAGGTTCTACCCAAGGATATTGAACAAAAAATGAGATAAAAGACATCCATTTTGGAAAAGAAGTAAAACAATCTATTTGGAAATAACATGATCTTGTATATAGAAAATCCTAAGTTCCTCCCACACACCCACACACTAAACAGAGCTAATAAGGAAGTTCAGCAAGATTGCAGGATGTGAGACTAATATACAAAAATCAGTTCTATCTGTGTACACTCACAATGAACAAGCCAAAAGTGAAATCAAGAAAACAATTCCACTTACAATAGCATCAAAATGAATGCACTTAGATCTATTTAATGCACTAAAATAAACTTAACCAAAGAAGTATAAGACTTGTACCCTGAAAACTATAAAATGTTGTCATCTGGGGAGATGGAAGTCAACAGGAAAATAAAACTTGGGGTAGTGGCCACATGACACACACACTTATCAATACTCATCAAGCTGTACACATAATATCTAGTCATTTTATGGTATGTAAATTATGCCTCAATAAAAGTTTGAAATATTCTGGGGGATTAACCCCAAATAATAATGTTATATTTCCCACTCAAGCAAAATGTAAGTGGTTAGGACTCAGCAATCCTGACTCCCGGTGACTCCCGCATGCTTTAACTGTTCCATGTTGGACCGTATCACTTCCTCAGTCAACTCAGTAGGGCAGGACAGGGCCTTGGAGACTAGAAAATGAAACCCCAGCTTTTCTCTGCCTCAGGGACCCCTCACGTCCACTCACATTCCACTGGCATTCAGGTACATGACCCCACCCAGCTAGGAGGGCTGCTAGGTGCTGTCTTCTGTGAGTGGAAGGAAAGAGGAAAGTGCTGTCTAGGCAGCATCACACACAATTGATGAATGAAAAACTCATTGATCCCTTATTGTTTTCTGAGAAGGTCCATAGAGGAAATATATACTGATAATAACTCAGAAGTTCCAGAAGCTGAAATATCACATCAAGTCAAAATCCATCTTGTGGACAGATGCAGGATAACAGCATACCCATACGTTCTGCCGTTCAGTAACTAAGTTCCGTGGATCTTGCCCTTGGGATGGTGTTTCCCAGATGCTAAAGTCGTCACTCAGTGATGCTGGTGTGTGTATACCTTTGAAGGCAAATTGGTTTTGCTGCTCTTCGCTTGTGCTTACTTTTCTCATTTCACTGTGCCCTGGGCTGAAGTTTGGAAACCACTGGTAAGGAAGGGAGGCCTGGTGAGAAGGGAGATGGAGGAAAGGATGCCCCTGTGCAGGCCTGCTGGGGGCTCTCCTGAGAGCTGGTGGGCCCACCGCCCGGGGGCCACCAGGCAGAGTGAGTGCAGGGCAGTGTTCCCTGCTCCCTGTGGGGAGCATCTCCTGGCTTTTGGTGACTCTTCTCCATTATTAACCTTAGGCTCCTCATCTGTAGGACGAACGTGACTGGAGCCCCACATACCCACCCCCTGCAGACCTCAATGAAGAGAAGCAGCTGGATTTTGGGGGCATTTGTACTGTCAGGACCATTCAGGCTAGCCGTGGAGGTTTCCATTCAGCAGGCTGTGAGCTGGACGGGCTTTGGGAGGTAAGTAAAGGTGGGGCAGGGGCAGAGCCAGCTGGGCTGAAGCAGAGGAGGGTTTGCAGTAAAAGGAGGAGAGAAGGCAGAAAACCCTGTAGGAAGAGGAAATGGGGAAAGAGGTTATGGTTTAAGGCAGCAGATGAGTAGATTCTGTTCTGTCGTGTGGAATGGAATCCCGTCTTCCATCTCTAGGTATCTTCAATAAAAGGTTCCCCTCGGTCCTCAAAGCTTTTGAATTGAACTAGGTAAAAGTATTTGGGTCTGGCTCTAAGCAAACTAGGTGGACCTCCCCCAGGTCCATCTTTGGACCATTGTTAAAGACCCTTCTCTTAGAGAGTGGTTGCCAAATAGTAGACCTAGGGAAGGATGTGACAGGGCCCAGAGTTCTAGAAGGATGGGATGGGATGGGGAAAAGCGGAAAATTTGGTTGATCATGAGGATGGAGGCCTTGAAGGTCATGTAGGTAGTTTGACCCCCGAGGTGGTGGGCAGTGGAGAGCTCATGGTGTGGAGCTGGGAGGGATCTGGTCTAAGCTGCGCACTGGGAAGTGCTTTCTGACCCCAGAGTGGAGGCTATCTTTGGAGTAGCCCTGGAAATGATATTTTGCTGAGGCATCCCTAAAACATAACCTGGTCAAAATGCAGAGAGCACCACTTGATCTTCACTGCTACCTGAATTTGTGGGAGATCTGCACCCCACTCCTCACTGCCTGGTCCCTCAAAGACATTCATGGTCAGCAGAACCTCTTTTCTCCAGCCTTGTGTTTCCACAAGGAGGGGCATCCATTAGTGTGATACCCTTGGCCCTTCTATGATGGGTAGAATTTCATGTAGGCATCTGGCATCTCTTCTCTCTTGGGGGCTCTCTCTCCTCTTCTCTCTTCAAAGTCTGCCTGCCTATAAGAAGCAGGTGTTTCTCCAGGTGGGGGCTTAGTGGTAAAAGTCTGGGTCCACCAAGGATCAAGGCTTGCCCCATCTTTCTGCTCAGCATATTGGTGATGTCCCATCTCATGGTGTCCAGATGTCAGCCTCAGCTCTGAGTGCGGCATCTGCCCACATCTGCCTGCCGGTCAGCCTCCCTGGAAGAAGGCGGATACATAAAGGGAATCTTTCCCAGAAGCCACTGCAGGCTTCTCGTGGACGGACATTGGCCAGTCGTGATCACTCCCCACGCTAGACCAGGCCCTGGCAAAGGGGGCAGGGTGACCATGGCTGATTCCGGCCAGCGGGGATGGTTCCCTGGGCCTGACGCACTGTGGGACAAAACCAGCCTCACCCACACCTCGGTAAATGGCCCCCCCATCAAGGCCTCTACAAATACCCCATTTGAGCAGCCATCTGTCTCTTGCCCTGATGGACTGTCACTGGACTGCTGCGTGTGCAGTGCATGCAGGCTCCCTCCATGGGGCGTGTTGTGTGTCACGTCACTGTGAATGAGCATGCACATGTGTGTACGTGTGCGTGTGTGTGTGTGTGTGTGTGTGTGTGCACGAGCGCACACACAAACCCAGACAATAAAGCTGCTCCATCCATTGTTCCCAGACCTGTGGTCAGGTCCCCACCGGGTCTCCAGAAACCCAGGAAGTTCTCGGTGCAAAACAAGCCCTGTAGGTGGAATGAATCAGCTGAAAGGTGTGAAGTGGCTCAAGCAGAAAGTCAGGATTAGCTTCTCTGGTCCCACTTTCCTTCTCTGCTTCTCTGAGCTCTTGCTTCAGCTTCTGCCCTGGCTCTAACTGTTCACCCATGCGAGTGGCTGCCTAATGTGCAGAACACCTGGGAGCAGGCAGGAGAGGGCTCCCTAAGGCCAGGACTGTCTGCACCCCAGCAAGAAGGGCACCCTTGTCACAGTTCTCCTGGGCTGACCTGGCTGGGAGTCGGGGAGGTAGGCAATGGGGATGAAATGTCAGTGGGAAGAGAGGGAAGGTGGCTCAACAAAGCCAAGTGGGCCACAGCACTCGCAGTGAGGGCTCTCAGAGCAGAGCCTGTTCAGCCCTGGTTCCCATTTCCTCTTGAATTATTCTCCCTTCACACACACACATTCACACACACACAGACACACCCCACCATAATCTGAAAGGCAGGCCCAGACCTTCCTGGTCTGTTTCAGCCAGTCTCTGGCCCTGCTCCCAGGAGGTGTGGGCTTGGAGCCCTAAGGAGCTCCAGCACACGGAGCAGGTCGCGGCACACATGGCCACAGCCAGGCCAGCCCCCATGGAGTCGGCCTCCAGAGCGGCCTGGAGCCCTGCCACAGCTCACAGCTGCTGGGCAGGGTGGACGGGCTGGGCTGGGCAGGTCGCAGGTCCTAGACTAGAGCCACAGGGTTCTCAGGGACCTGGCCGACCTGGACCTGCCTCTGCTGCTCCCCCAGCCAGGAGTGCCCCCTCCCGCTCTTCCAGAGAGCTGCTCCTCATCACCCAGGTCTCAGCTCAGATGTGACCCCCCAGCCAGCCACCTCTTCCCTCCTCACATTACTGTCTTTGTTTTCTTCCCTCCTGATAAAAAGGTCACTTTCTGGTTCTTTGTTGCTTATTTATTTGTTTATGGTTGATCTCCAACCCATACCACCCTCAGTACATACACACAGTTCCTAAGATAGAAGCTTCGGGGAAGGCAGACTGCATCTGCTTCATTCATCACTGAATTCCTGGCACCTAGCACAGGACCTGGCAGAGAGTAGGTACTCAAGAAATCCTTGCATGAATGATGGATGAATGAACATGGGCTCCCCTACTCTGTGTGAGTTACTCCATGCTTAGGCAAGAAAACTAATGGTTCGGAGTAAAGACATGCATTTCAATCCCAGCTGTGCTACCTGTGTGATCTACAAGTTACTTCTCCTCTCTGTGCCTCAGTTTCCCCATCTGTAAAACAGGGATAAGCACAGGACCTGCCTGGAGGCTTGGTGTGGGACATCATGAGTTAATACACGTGATGGACCTAGAACAGCTGGCAAAGACGAAACACTCAATTACCAGTATTATTATTATGCTATTCATCTTCCCAAAAAACTTGCCAACTGAGGCTCAGATAAGGGATGACTTGCCTGACATCACACAGCTGGAAGGAGGCAGAGACAGGATTTGAACCCTGGCCTAAACATCTTAGAAGATAGAGTCCTCTCTAGGGTGCCACCTGACCCTGGTGCGCCCCTTGGACTGTGGCCTACCTGGCTCTTGGGTTTGGTTCTTAGAGGCTGGGATGAAGCAGCCTGGTTATGGCCCACCTGAGCATGCCATCAGGGCCTGAGGCCCATGGGGGAAGGAAGAGAGGTTACTGGCTGTGGAGGCTTGGCAGCCTGTGAGCCTCGGCACCCTGCCTTGTCCTGAAAGAAACTGTCCCAGCACCCAGCCTGGGAGGAGCTGCCCCCAACTCCCAGCCCCACACCTAATTCTTTCCATCCCATGCAGCTTGAATGCAGTCACAGAGCCACACCCCCTCCCCACTGTGGGACTCTTACAGTTCAAGTTTTATGAATTCATTAAAATGCACATGTAAACTTTAAGGAAATCACATTATGCTGTAATAAGAGCTACAAATTGATACGATTCCTTAGAGAGCTCACTGGTAATCCGGATTGCCTACTTTGCAAAATGGTTTTCCAGCCTTTTGCATCTATTAGTAGGGAAAGGTAGGGGCCAGCGGTGGATACCCCAGGAGCTCTGAACAACTGCAGGATGACTGGAGTGAGGGGCATGGAAAGGGTCACCTTCTGTGTATTCAAGGCCATCACCTGAATAGACCAGAGGCCACACCAGAGTGTGGCTTGGGGAGCTTTACCCTCCCTCCCATAATTTCTACCACCCCTTCCTAGCCATGCTAAACAAAATAACTTCTAAGAAGAAACCTGTGTTTGCCTTTCAAGTAGAGACAAGACAGGCCCCCCAAAACTCCTCTCCCCATGTGACCATGTGGCTCGCATAATTTTGTGCTTGTTTGCATCTGTGTCTGTCCCCCAAAATGTGACTCTGGACTCCTGAAGTTAAAATCCATATCCAACACATATCAGAGCCTGGAACACAGTAGGAATGATGAATGTTTGCTGAGTGACAGGGTGACTTGCAGACACAGTATCATGTGGGTGGTGACGCTGCAGTGGTGCTGCTACCCAGAGGCCCTGGGGTCCCAGGAAGCATGAGGAAGAGTCCCAGGAGCAATGGCCTCCAGAAGGTGGAGAGGGGATATGCCAGGCCAAGCATGGGGAAGGGCCGGGAGATGTGGGGTGTAAGAAAGGCCCCTGAGCCAGGTTGAGGAGTTGGAGGTTATCCGATGTTTTCTGGGTGGACTTTAAGCACAAGTGAGGGTGGACCTCTTCCCACATTCCTGATGGCAGCTGTGATTGTCTTAATAGTAGTGACACAGGACAGGAAGCACAAGCATGGTTTTCTTCCATGTTTCCAGTGAGGATGCAGGCTCAGCTGGCTGACTGTCCTCTCATATGGCTGATCTCCAGGGAGCATGCTGCCTGGTCAGAGAGACCACTTCCCGAGTCCCTGAGGAGATGGCAAGAAGACAGGGAGTGTTTGATGTTGTCTGGTATACCCTCAGTCTGATACAGCAAGGATTGCTCTTATTGTTCACACTTCGGGGATGACAACCCTGGTCAGGAGGAACCCTGCTCATAGCACACAGCTATAGTGGTGGGGCCAGGCCAGGAGGGACAGCCGCTTGGAGTCGGTGTGGAGGGACCCCACACTCCAATGACACAGGGGCTACGGCCTAATTTCACACTTGTCCAGGGAGGCAGATTCGAACCTGGTGGCAGCTTTCCACCCTCTAGACCTTCCTCGCAACACACCTGATGGATCATATGACTACCATGAGCTATCCTGTATTTGTGTCTTTGTGCTTCTGAAGAATAGATTCCTGGAAGTAGAGCTGCTCGGGTTCAAACCATGGAGACCACTGAGCTGCACTTACCAGCGCTCCTACCTGCCACTAATGTCTGAGAATGCATTTCCCCACACCTTGGCCAACATGGGCTGTAACAATTTAATGTTGCCAGGGTGATAGAGAACAAAAATTTTGTTTTAATTTTAATTTTAATTATAATTTCCTGAATATTACATCCAAAGTTAAGCATCCTTACATTTGTTCATTGTTGATATTTCTTATATCTGTGAATTACTTTTTCATATACTTTGCCCACCTTGTTTGTTTTGTTTTTGATCCTTTTTTTATTGATTTGTAGGAGCTCTTTATATGTACTGGATATTATATGTCTGCATTTTCAGTTGCTTTAAGCATTTTCTTCCAGTCTATCATTTGTCTTTTAACTGTCTGTTATTTTTGGACAAACAAGTTTTAAATATTTTGGTTAGTTATATTTCTAATTCATGCCCTTTTTAGGTCTGTAGATTTTATGTATTAGTAAGGAAGTACATCCTACTAAGATTGTAAGGAACTATTTTTTTTGTACTTACCTTTTGGAACCATTTGTAATTTATTTTTTATTATGCTGTGGGAGTATGCTATATAGAATTTTTTATATGGATAGCCAATAGCCCCCATATTGTCATTTATTGACTATTTCATTGTTTTGCCACTGAATTTAAGAAGCCAACTTTATGATAACTGTTTTTCCATATGTACACAATATGTTTCTAGATTTGTTCCTCTATTTTTGGCTATTTCTATAGGAATTCCCTACTGATTTAATTGCTATGACCTTTAAAATAGTTGGATATCTCACAAGGGAAGTTATCCCTCGTTGTTTTTCTTTTTTCAAATTTTTTGTCTACCTCTAGAAATTTCCCTTCCAGGGAAAAGAAGCATCTTGTCAGATACCATGAACAGTCTTACTGAGATTTTGATTGGGGTCCCATTGAATTATAGATCATTTATGGGAGAACCCATATATCTAACTCTTATTGAAGGCTATTCAGTAAAACTTAGTAGCCTTTTTATATAGTTCTTAGACATTTTATTAGATTTCTTTCTAGACATTTGGGAATTTGTTGCTTTTAATAATGAGAGTGTTTTCATTTCACTTTCTTATTGGTGTTTGCAAGCATGTAATTAAGCTATTGATTTTTCTGTGCTGACCATATATCTAGCTATACTGCTAAATTCTCTTATTTGTTTGTCAATTGATTCTCTTGAGAATTTTCTATGTGGATGATTGGATAGTCTGCAAGTAATTTCAGTTTTGTCCCTTCTTTCCAATGTTAATATATCATAGCTTTGGCTAGAATCTCCAATAAAAAGGCTGAATGATGCAATAATGGGAATATTGTTTCTTTTTATTTTATTATCAAGTATAATTATTACTGTGGAGTTCCAATGTCCTTTATCAAATTAAGAAAGAAACTAATTTGCTAGAAGCTTTGTTTTCTTAATCATAAAAGTATGTATATTGAATATTTTCAAAAGAGTTTTGTTCTCTATGAAAATAATTATGTGGTTTTTCTTATACTCTAATAAAGCAGTGATTTAAATTGGTAGATTATTTTTCTAAAGTTGAACACACTTGTATCTCTGAGATGTCTTTTAATATGCTGCTGAGTTGAAATAACTCATTTTAAAAAAATAAAAACTCCATCAATTAATTTTACAAGATCATACTCTAAAAGTGGTCTAATTTAAAGTTAACAACAAAGGACACATTAATAAAATCATAACATCTACTTATTTTCAAGATTTTTACCAATTAAAGGAACAAAGATAAAAACAAAAGTGGAAAGAAAGACACTTTCACAGAAACATCTAGAGACAAAGAAAGACACAGAGAAATGTAAAACTAAAGAAAAAAGATTAGAGGAGAAATGTGAGGAGACTTATAAACATATTCAAATGTATACATCTAGAAAAGATGAAAAGTAGATAGATGGCACCCATGATCATAGAGAGAGGGACAGAGAGGGAGGAAGAGAGGGTAGGACAGCTGAGGGGAGGCAGGCAGAAAAGGGAAAATACACTGTGACTTGAAACAAATGCAGAATGATTCTTGGACACTGGTCCTGCTGGGTGACGCTGTCCTCCACATGGCCCTTCTGGTTTCTGTTCTGTATGGTATTTTCTTTAGGAGCTGTGCATCTGTGTTCATTAGGAAGATTGACATACAGCTTTATTGTCCTGAACTGTCCTCTTTTGTCTCCTGAAACATTTAATTTCTTGATTAATTGCATTGCTTTTACTTATAGCTCATTAATTTCTACTTTTGTGTTAATTCCATCATTCTACTTTTTTGGAAATTTTAAATGGTTTATCAATCAATAGTTTCTTGTGTTGAAGGTTTAGTTCATTTATCTTTAATCTTTTTTTTTTTCTAATAAAGGCATGTAAGCCATGCTTTTTCCTTTGAGTACTACTTTGGCAGAAAATCACAGATTTTGTGGTATGGTATTTCTGACATAAATCACAGAGAGAATAATCACCAACATTATTCAGACTAAATTGTTTGGACATTATATACTTTTATTTTCCCTCTAATTCAAGAGCTATTAAAATTTTTTGTTGTTGGCCTCTAATTTTTATTGCATTTCAAGCAGGGAATATGGCCTAAATAATAGCTTTTTGGAATGTATTAAGATTTCCTTTATGGCCTTGCACATAATCAGTTTTCTAGAATATTTCATTTGTAGTTAGAATAATATATAATCTCTGTTGAGCAGAAGGTTGTGTGTATGTGTGTGTGTGAGAGAGATTAAATCAAGATCATTCATTGTTTTATACAAATCCTCTTTTTACTTACTTATTTCTATGAGAGTTGTGTCCAGATTGCTCACCAAGATATTGAAGATCTGGTTTTTTCTACTTGTAATTCTGTCAGGTTTCTGCTCTGTGTATTTTGAAGCTATGCCTTAATTGCAATAAAAAATGATTATTTGTTATCCTGTGGATTGTTCCCTTTTTTCAATATGATGTAACCCTTTCCTTTATTATTAAATGCTTTGACCTTGAATTCTGTTTCATCTGAGTTTAATATTACCATCTTTCTTTGTTTTATTAGCATCTCCATTCCTTCGACTTCATTTTCCCTTGATTGTTTTTTTTTTTAAAGATATGTTTCATCTAAAGGGCTTACAGTAAGAGTTTGGATTTTTATCTAACCAGAATCTTCTTCTTTTAATTAATGAGTTTAACCCATTCACATCTAGTGTGGTGTAACAGTTTTAGAACTGTTCGTTCTTTTTTTTGTTTGTTTCTGTGTGTTATCCTTTTTGTGTCTTCCCCTTTTTTTCTTAAATTTTGTTATACCAACTGAATTTCCTTTGCTAAATTTTCTCACCTCTTAAAAATATATTATTAAAGCAGAATTTAGAAAACACTATTGGTAGTTAAGTTACCCCTACAAGAAGTCAAAACAGTACTGTTCTACCTCCCTCTGCTCCATTTACTACTTTCCTAGAATTTTTGTCCCATGATTAATTTATTTTTTCCATTCAAGTATAACATACATACAGTAATGTGCCCAAATCTTGAGTATAGAGCTTGATGAGCTTTTCCAAGGTGAGCACACCCTGAAAATGATACCCAGAGCAAGATACAGAACATTATCAGTACTCAAAAAACCTTCATGGTGTCTTCCAATTCCCCTTCCATAGGCAAACCATAATGCTGACGCCCATCACCGCAAATCAATTTGTCTTTTTCTTAAGTTTATGTATTTGAAATCATAGTGTCTATTCCTTTGTGTGATGCTCTTTCACTTGGCATGATGCCTCTGAGACTCATCCACACAGAGACGTGGGGCAGTCGTGCTGTCTTTGTGCTGTCTAGCATTCCATTCTGTGACTGCACCACAAATTACCCAGTGGTGAGGGACATTTGTGGTGGTTCCAGTTTGTGGGTGTTGGAGATACTTCAATGAGCACTGTAGCATCTATCTTTTTGGTACAGCTATCTGTGTATTCCTTTTAGATATACACCTGAGAACAGAATTGTTCGGTCATAGGTTGTGCATATATTTAGCACTTGAGGATACTGTCTGCTTTCCAAGTAGTGTACCCACATTGCTATTTAATGTTCCATACTTTAAACAATCAACACTTATTCACTCTTAAAAAGCAGTCTTCATTGTCTTATTTGATCATCACTGTTTATTGTACTCCATTTCTTTTGCATGTCTTCATTTTTCTTCTTGCTAGAGCTCATCTTCTGGTGTTTGGGTTTTGTTGTTGTTGTTGTTATCATTAATCTACAATTACATGAGGAACATTATGTTTACTAGACTCCCCCCATCACCAAGTCCCCCCAACATACCGCATTACAGTCACTGTCCATCAGCATAGTAAGATGCTATAGAATCACTACTTGTTTTCTCTGGTTGGGTTTTTTTAAAAGAGTATTTGTGGGTCTTAAATGTTTGGCTTCTTTCATTCCCCCAAATGTCTTTCTTTTGTCCTCACAGTGAATATATAGTTTTGCAATAGTTACTCTTGACATGTAGTTGTAGATTCCAAGTGATTTTCACTCAGAACTTCGAAGATATTGCTCTATTATTATGTTGTTCTCTTGAAGAGCCCTGTTAATCTCAGAATTTATTTCCTCAGTTTGGACAGCATTTCCTCTATTATTTCTTAGAAAATTTCCTCATTTTTGTTCTCTCTGTTCTCTCTTTTTAGAACTCTTTTTGATGACTTTTCCAATTTTTCTACTTATCTTCCATGTCTCTTAACTTGTATTTCATGCTTTCTAAGTCTTTGTACTTTTATGTCATGTTCTGGGATAATTCCTCAGGTTTTCTAGATTGCGAGTTTGATCTTCAGCTGTATACATTCCATTTTTCAGCCCACCTACTGAGCTTTCATTTTTTTCCTAATTTAGCAATCAAGTTTTTAACATTCTTTTTTTTGAAGTCAGTGTCCTTGCACATTTCTCTGAAGCCATTTGTCATGCTTATTCTAAATGTCTGTCCTGCTTTCTCTATTAAATCTGATTCCTCAGATATAGTTTCTCATTGATTGAATTTGGTGAATCTCTTTCGTGTTGTTACTATGCAGAGAACACAGGGGAAAGACTTTCTCATTATTTCATGCTCAGATTGTCAGAACATCTCACAGGTTTGCAGACAGAGTTGAGCAGTTAGCAACCCTGGTGTGGAACGGGAGATTAATCAGAGGTGTTCACTTTGGCTGTGCCTGGGGAGAATACTGGCAGCTTCCAATCCTACTAGCTCCTTCCTTCCAACCGCCTTCTGCTTCCTCCTCTCAGGCACCTCTTCCCACTGCTCCAAATGGTAACTGACTGACCAGTCCTTTGCAGACTGGTTCAGTGGGCCCCATTAGCGAATTAGCTGGTGGGTCCTTGGGAGTCAAAGCTAGGTTGAGATGTCCCCTGTGAGGGTAGAAAGAGGAGACGGAAGTGAAGAACAAAGCCAGGAAGTGTGAAAATCCTCTGAAAGTGCCAAAGGTTGAGCCAAGTAAGGAAGATCGGTTGGCAGATCCAACACGCAGAGGTGATTGAAAGGGGAAACCAAGCCTGAGGGACCAGTGTTGACACAGTGGGTACAGCAGGCAGGTACTGAAGTCTGCCCCAGGGGGTCCTGTGAGTGGTACCGGGTGCGCGTGACTGACCTCGCCTGACCGATGCGGGGCTGAGGGCGGATGAGCTGGGTTGGCTTAGAGGTTCCTGGTGGGAAGGGTAAAAACTCCCATTCCAGCCCTACGAATGCAGGATGGCTCCTGGACCTAGAATTTTTGTCCCATGATTAATTTATTTTTTCCATTCAAGTATAACATACATACAGTAATGTGCCCAAATCTTGAGTATAGAGCTTGATGAGCTTTTCCAAGGTGAGCACACCCTGAAAATGATACCCAGAGCAAGATACAGAACATTATCAGTACTCAAAAAACCTTCATGGTGTCTTCCAATTCCCCTTCCATAGGCAAACCATAATGCTGACGCCCATCACCGCAAATCAATTTGTCTTTTTCTTAAGTTTATGTATTTGAAATCATAGTGTCTATTCCTTTGTGTGATGCTCTTTCACTTGGCATGATGCCTCTGAGACTCATCCACACAGAGACGTGGGGCAGTCGTGCTGTCTTTGTGCTGTCTAGCATTCCATTCTGTGACTGCACCACAAATTACCCAGTGGTGAGGGACATTTGTGGTGGTTCCAGTTTGTGGGTGTTGGAGATACTTCAATGAGCACTGTAGCATCTATCTTTTTGGTACAGCTATCTGTGTATTCCTTTTAGATATACACCTGAGAACAGAATTGTTCGGTCATAGGTTGTGCATATATTTAGCACTTGAGGATACTGTCTGCTTTCCAAGTAGT